ATTTATTATATATATATATATATATATATATATATATATATGTATAACATTTTTCTAGATGCATTACATTTAAAATCAAAAAGTTGGAATGAGTTAGAGACCGAAGAAGAATTATCTAATGATATACCAGATCGGAAATTAACTCACGAAGAAAAAGCGAATTTACTTCGGTACACATATTATGTGAAAGATTATATGTATATATTAACATCTGAATCAATTTTTATTTCAATTTCAGGGAGAAACATTTGGAACTGAGAAACGGATTTGATCGTTTAGACAGACTTACTGCAAAAGGACCAAACCACAAAGAATTTATAGATCCCAAAATACAAGGATTATGGAAGATTGCGGTAGAAGCAAAATTTTCTCCTGAAGAGTTGTCATCCTTAAAGGTATAACGATAATAATAACAATAATTCCAATAGTTTTCTCTTTATACATATCTGTAGAAATAATTAGATGAAAACTAAATTGTATCTATAGACTTATTATTTATTTTTGTAAATGTTAAAAAAATTTACCATTAAGAAAATTTAAATTGTTAACGAACGCACTTCGATTATATTTACATTAATGTGGATATATATATATACATTGTACAGGAGGAACTGTTGCACTATGAATCAAGACTACTCAAACTACAGCATTTACATGCAGAAAGAGCTTTGGAAGCAGCACGGACAGGACAGCATCATGACTCAGAAAATTCAACTGCAGATCAGCACATAAAGAAACATGTTAGAACTGTACAAAAGCTTCATATGGATTTAGAAAACAAGATCATGCAGAGACATTCGGAATTATAAGAAAATTGTATAAAAAGCTATAGATCATTGCCATTTACAAGAATCAATGTACATGCAATATAATAATATATACAAAGCAATTAGAAACGTTAGAATCGTTCATCATTAAATGAATGATGAATATTTGGTGAAAATTGTTTATATATTCAAATAATTTATTGGCTTACACTCTTAACAATTTTTACATATAATGTATGATGAATAACAAAACTCTGATATATTTATACTATTAAAGCATTTAAAATATATATCATAAATAATTTGTACTATAAGAAAAATTTTTCTTATACGAACAATATATGAATGAACTATAGGAAGCTATTTTATTTTTATCTAAGTCGAGTACATAAAAATGGAAGAATGTGAAGATCATTTTCGAGTACATTTGTGTATATATATATATATATATATATATATATATATATATATATATATATATATAATTTTCTAACAATTAAATTACTAGGAATATAATTACAGCCCAGTGGCAAGTTTACTATTATTATTATTAGTCTTCTTTTTCTCTTTCGACCTCCCTTCTTTTGATCCGACTAGTTTCTCACATTCGCACCAAGGCGTACTTGATTTGTCACAGAGCAAGGAGATGTTAATCACTGTTAAAGAAGTATCTGATATAGTCATCTTGATTGTATCCAATATTTTATACGAGACATTGTTCAAGCCAGTTTGTCGGTCTCGTTTTCTGGTAACTTCTCGTTGATTATAACACTTCATCATATCTCGCTTCCTATGATTTCTATCGTGTATATGCCTGTAGTACATATTCAACACATAACGATCGGAAAAAATAAGCGTCACTTCTATAACAGTTTTATTCTATAATTTATAGTAAATATAAATTAAATTTTTATAGCAAGAATGATACCTAAATGTATTATGCGTTCCCGTTGATATATTTTGCGGACGACTGACACTTAAGCCAGCCTCTTTCAGTCTAACATAAAATTCGTCATCTTCAAGACCCCATCCCCAATATTTGTTAGACATCCCATTGACTTGTATGAAATGCTCCCTGCAAAAGTTTCATATATTCAACAGTAGTAAATAAATCATTAATCTCATTATTATTTATTATCATTATTTAAGATATACCTTTTAATAAGCAGTATGCCGCCAATAAAGGTAAAATAATGATATCGTGGATGCAAGTCTGGTGATGATATATGATGAGGTCCAGCACTTGGATATGCGTATGATAACTGATCATTTATAGGCAACAAATCTACATCATGCATCGCAATATAATCAAATGCTTTCTCTGTTTCGAGAAAACCTACATTTATAAGAGACGCTCGATTGAATCTATATCTATCCACCTGAAAGAAAAGCAATAACATTAAAACAATGTTCCTATTATTCGCAAGTCTTTCTTCATATATTTCTGCTACTGTTGTACCTGATTTAATACAAATATATGATAATCAATATTCTGTTTATCCAAAAATTTTTGCATATGTGGTACAAATATCAACAGTTCTTCAAAACGATCCCTAAATGGCACTAGTATGGCCAATCGATGCTCAGCTCTCTTCTTATGTCCATTAATTTCGTTAGTTATTTGCTTGAGGTGTTGACTTGATTGAGTATTGGTTTCGCACTTGCACTCATCTGTGGGAATAAAATAATGTATAAAATAACTGTCTTTATATTATACTATATATATTATATTTTGCATTATGTTGATGACTAACCAATACTAATGGGCGATATACTGATTATACATGACATAATGAAGGTAATCAAGATACAAGCAAAGATATATTTAAATCTTATGCTTTTCCAAATGTTATCCATGTTGACTAAAGTTTACAAAAGAATTATCTAAAAAAATATAAACTCTGCGAGCATTAATTGATACAGAAATGCTGCTTTAATAATCCATTAATATCTTTTAGTGGCATTTCTTCTTTCTTGAAAAAGAAAAATTTTCTTCACACTTCTCTATTGTTATTAGAGAATAAGAGCTCAATCATTCAAGTATTGTTCTCACAATACTTAAATATCTAATTATGTTGGAAGAAGGTGACTGATAGTCACCTTAATTTTAAGGACTGTTGTAATCCTTAAAATTATCATTCGCAGCTGTCGATTGATAATATAATTCTGAATGGGCATTCCGATGTGAAATTAATACGAGGAATTTCAGATTCATTGCATCCCTTCAAAGAGATAATGAGAGAAACGCGTCGCAGACCCTTCCTTTTCCTTTGTTTTAGAGTTCATATACAAGTTGCCCGATCAGCGACACTTCGTCGAGGGGCAAAGAAGCACCTCTCGCTGTACTAGCTCGAATGATGAAATCTCTTGCGAACATCCGTGCAAGGTGCACACATCTCTCTGTGCTGCGAACTCGCGAGCATCACATACCAGTCCGATCCACGTGCACAATTCCCGCATTGTTATATTCTGACTAACGATGTCTGCACAAGCGTATCAGTCATGTCACTCGTATCACTTCGCGACAGAATTCATCGCTATTCGCCGCTGCAACTTTACAGATCGCAAAATCTGCCCGACTATGGACCTGAAGGCACCTTTTCATGCATCGTCCAAGGCTCCAAGGCAATTTTTAATGTCAAACCAGATCACGTGATCAAAGTTGACGCTAATGAAATTTGAACGATCACAAAAAGAAGAGGAAAAAAAACGATTCAGAATATAATTATAATCAGAGCATCGGATCAAAACTGTTTTAAGATATAAAAAAAAATAAGGCAGCATGTGAATATTTCTCAGGTTTTTCTCCAATGCAAACTAAAAAAATCTATATTATACGTAACACAAACTATACATTTTAGTACTGCCAATATGAATGCAGTCTAAAACGAACAGACTCGTAGCGTCGTATTGCTCATTCTATCCTCGTTCAATGAATGGATTACGTCACGTGTGTGTAGAGTTGGGTGTAGTTCGTTACAGTCCGGAGTAGTCATGTCAAGGGTGTTGTCCGTGTGTTTTTAAATCGAGAGAAACATTTGAAGGAAAGATGTGGCTCCAGCCATATGCATTATTATTGTCCCTGTGCTATTTCGCGTTACGTCAAATTCATGGTAAAGCTCGTTCATCCCCGAGGAACGTTATGAAAGCGAGATTAACTGGCGCGTTGTAAAACGCAATCATACCATGCGATGCGTATATTCAAATTAACAGTTAGAAAATAAAACTTTGATCTCTAAAATAAAAATTTATATTTCATATCAAATTAATATATTTCTAAGATGATCCGACAACGATAACATATTCTATATTCACTTACGTTTTTGGTTCCTGATATTTGTCAGCCTAACTCTGTGAAAAATTCGGAGTACGCTGCATGTTAATGTCTTGTAATGATTAGTGATAATTAATTAATTATCAACAGGCCAATACCACAACAATACAGTCACATGGTGTACAGTCTCCGAGGGTGAACAGAACAAATGTCAAGCCTTCTCCAGGGCAATCGATCGCGAGAGAGGCTCCTTTGGTTATAGCTACTTTTCACTGCGTTGCAAGCAGGCTTTTAATAAGGAAGAATGTATGACCATGCTGGACCATGAAAATGCCCAGATAACAACGTTGGATGCTGGAGAGGTTTTTATAGCTGGACGATATCATAGTCTTGTACCAATAATGCAAGAGATATATGAAAGCGGTGTGAATTATCAATATGCTGTCGCAGTGATTAAAAAGGGCTCTCTGCCTGAAGTACAAACTTTGTATGATCTTAGAGGCAAGAAGGGCTGTTTCGCTGGTGTTGGAACACTAGCAGGTTGGGTTATTCCTATTAATACTGTGAGTAAAATTGATAAAATATAACATGAACTATCACAATATAAATATAATTGCTTATATATAGTAAAATATATTTTTGTTTAGCTTATGAGGTATGGAGGAATGGAAGTTATTGATTGTAACAATCATGTAAAATCGACAATTAAGTTTTTTGGGCCTAGTTGTGCAGTAAACTCTTTAATCGATAAATATAATCCACTTGGTAAGTTCAATACAAGAATATATAGATATGTTTCCATTGTATAATTCTTATAATTCAAAAAATCAATTGTAGGTGATAATTCTGACCAGTTATGTAGCTTATGCATTGGAAAAATACCTGGTGGTAAGTGTACAAATCAAGATCCTTATTCGGGATACGAAGGAGCTTTCCGCTGCTTGGTCGAAGCAGGTGAAATTGCCTTTTTGGTACACACAACTGTGCAGGAAATGACTTCAACAACATTCGATTTCAGTATGTAATCTTACAAATAAAATTTTTAAAAGAAAAGGACAAAAGGGGGAAAGAGAATATTTATATTTCAATTTTCTTGTTATTAGGTTCTGTAAAGAAGGAACAATTCGAATTACTGTGCACGGACGGTACTCGCAGACCTATAGACGATTATAGAACCTGTAACTGGGGCACTGTGCCATCCCGCGCGATAGTCACATCTTCAGCAACCAAGTTCGAGATTCGTCGAATGTATCAAAGATTTCTTGAAAGAGCCGTTCGAATACTGCACAGGAACAGGAATGATACAGGAGATTTCAATCGTTTTGACAATCAGGGAGATTTCAATCGTTTCGACAATAATCAGGGAGATTTCAATCGTTTCAACAATAATCAGGGAGATTTCGAGAACCGTCCAGGTTACAACAACAGATTTGACGAAAATGAATTTAATAGAGGTGGATTTAGGAATCCGAACGAATATAATACGGACAACTGGGATCGTAATGGATATGATCGAAGCTTTAGCGGTGGCGAAAAAGAAGGTGGAGGAATAGGAGGAGGAGAATTTAACTCATGGGAGAGGCCAGCGATTAATGATACGTTTAATTACTATAATAGAGAAAGAGATCATACCGAATCTACAAATGTGCAACCGATAGAAGTATTCGAATTATACGAATCAGCACCCAGATATGGAACACAGCATAATTTAATATTTTCTGTAAGACACATGCTTCATCTGTTTATTATTGATTTAGTACTTATCTGTAATGGGCTTTATTTTTCTAGGACTCTGCTCGCGATTTCGTACAACTGTCCGAAAAAGATCAAACATACACCGGATACTTAGGAAGATCTTTAGATCATGTATTAGGAGTACGCCATTGTCCTGTAAATCGAATGACATTATGCGTTACATCTGATCCAGAAATGGAAAAATGCGTAAAGATGAAGGTATAAGAGAGAAAGAAAGATTTCTAAATTACAAAACAATTGTTTAGCTTATTTTAAAAATTAAATATGAATATTTTAATATTTTTATTATTTGTTGCAGATTGCCTTAAAAGCTCAGCTCTTAAAACCAGAATTACTTTGTCATAGAGGCTACAGCCAAATAAATTGTATGCAGCTGATAAAAAGCGGGTATGTAGAAAATAAGTTGAATTTAAATACATATATCCTAAGATGAAGTGCATCATAATTTCATCTTGTTTACAATAGAGTTGCCGACGTAACTGTATTAGATGCCAGTGACGTCTACACCGCTGGTTTACGTTTCGACTTGATTCCGTTTATATCAGAAGTATATAATCTTGGTACACCGGATTATTACGTTGTAGCCGTCGCTAAGGAGGAAGATGATAATACAGATTTGACATATCTTAAGAACAAATATACTTGTCACCCCGGAATCAACACGGCTGCAGGATGGGTTTACCCGCTGGCATATCTCATCTCTAACAGCTGGATCAGGGGATATGGTTGCGATTCTATACGCGCCGCAGCCGAATACTTTAGTAAATCCTGCGTGCCAGGCGCGCTCAGTACTGAATACAATACAGGTAACTAAAAATTTTAAGTTATTTTTCTAAGCTGACAATTTGTAAATTAATTAAATAAATTAATAATGGTCGGTAGATTTTTTCATAAAATAATTGAATCTACGAAACTTTTTATCCGATATTTAATTAATTATTTGTTTGTAGGCGTGCCTTATGATAACATGTGCGATTTATGCCATGGAGTAAGTTATAGATACTGCCGAAGAGACGCTTCCGAGGATTACTTTGGATATACAGGTGCCTTTAGATGTCTCGTAGAAGGAGGTGGCGATGTATCTTTTGTGAAACATACAACAGTCGCGGAAAATACTGACGGCAAGCGTAAGGAGTTCTGGGCGCGCAATACATTCACAAAAGATTTCGAGTTGCTCTGTCCGGACGGTACACGCCGTCCGACTACAGATTATGTGAATTGCAACCTGGGCAAAGTTGCTGCTAATGCCATAGTCACGCGCGGTGGTTATTACGGTTATAACGAGACGCAAATCAACGCGTACATCAATCTATTTATATATGCTCAACAGTTCTACGGCCGAAAGGAGCAGGATGAGTTCAGCTTTAGCATGTATTACAGTCCATCACCTTATAGCGATCTCATTTTTCAGGATGCAACTCAACAATTAGTGGTAATTCCGCCAAATAAACGGGAATATAATACCTATCTCGGGCCAGATTTTATGAGAGCCAGGAGAATCGTAGATTGTAACGCAGGCGCGTCTGCAATAAGCTATTCATTATTTGCTACAATACTTATGATCGCGTTCACTTTTGTATTTGGTAGATAAATATCGCGATTGCGTATTTTTGTATGCTTTTGCACGAATACTCGAATAATAATTCGCGTCGAGATCACGAAAGAAGAATAGAACTCTGACAAAAATGATCTGATATATAGCACATCAATTGGCAATACATTTTATCGCTATAGTATGTTTTATTCACTAATATTTTTGAAGATATTTTAAATGTCAGTTAAAGATTGTTTTATATATATATATTTTACACGTATATTTTTGCAAAAGTACAAATGACTGAAAGATGGAGTTGAATGTATAAACTTAAGCATAGTTGCTGCTTTTGCGTCCATCCAACAGAGTCATATCTCTAAGCGTATCCGTCCAAATATAAAAAATTATCGATCTAATAATCTTAAGAATTATTGTATTTAATAATTTGATATATGTATATTTTATACCGTCCACTAATGTTTTTATAGTAATAAATCTTTATAAAGTTTTTTATGCAATTTTATATTATTCTATATGTTAATAAAAAGTTTTCTTAAAATAATAAAAAAATTAATGAAAAACGCGAAATTTAAAACAAAACTTGTTCGTGTAAATTTAGACTTATCACGAAAAGTATTAAAATTTGTTTCTCATATTGCTAAATGTCATAAATAGAATCATACGTGAAAACAGAAAAGATTGAAATTACAATTGAATAACGATCAGAAAAGGAAACAGGAGACACATTGCTTTGGCTTTCAAAAACTATCAAATCTTAAGTTTGGATCAAAATTTTTAAGTCAATTAAACCTCTCTATCAAGTATCTATCCGCTCCTAATAATTTGGATAACGTAATTTTAACAAAAGACATAAAAATATTTCTATAAACGGAAAACGGCTTGTTCCTGCAAGAAACAATCCATAATAAAGCAATATGAATAGTGACACACAACCAGTGAATACATCTAAATACGAAACGCTAGGAAAAGGACCTAAAACGCAAATTAATAGATGCAATAATTCCGATAATCCTCAGGTAATTCTCATGTACAATTCAAAGATAGTCATACAACGAGATATACATGCTAAATATTTCAGATGACTGATACTAGCCAAATATTCAATAATCTGAACCAATCTACTGAACGGAAGCAGAAACCAGATTCTGGTTTAACATCCCATACTCTGCCTTCATCTGCAAAACATACTAATGTCATAACAAGTAAGATCTCGTAAACGATTTCAATATGTTATAATGATTTAATTTATATCTAAATCATTATACATGAAGTAAATAATATTATTTATACTATTTGTATAGTGTAAATAATATTATAAAATAAATAATATATTAATTCTTTATTAATAAACTTTATTCTATGAGCTTCCAATTTACTGTATAATTTGCAAATCTTCAGGTAAATACCAAACCCATAAATTAGTGGATAGCAAACAAGTCTTGGGGCCATTTCATCAATTCGATAAGAAGGCATTTCTTCTTGATACGTATGCCCGTATCGTCGCTAGCAATAACAGACGTTGCCCTAAACGACTACGTGAACTTGCTAAACCAAAGAGACAAGTTCGTAACGATTTGGTCGACCACGATGCAAATTTCTACCACGGCCATGTAACTAAAACTTACCGTGCTGAAGACAAATGCAATTTAAAAGAGTTTAAGAAGAAATAATTTGGCTTTCATCAACAGAGTATTTTAAAAAATTTCTCAGCGTGAATACTGCAGTTTTGAATAACACAGAAATCTAGAAGACATCCAGGAGAAAAAATATCTAATAAATATCTAAAAAATTTAGAAGTTCTTTAAACCATTAATTTTTAAATTAATGCATTTTTCTGGAATGATAAAAATTTTTCTGTTCTTGTAATGAAACTATAAGAAGTACAGTCCAATACATTAAGTCTAATACAATAAGATAATTTTATGTATCTTTGTAATCTCTTTCTTGTAATACTCGTTACGTGTTCGTTGCGGTGAGGAAAATATGTCCTACCCCAGCACTTAATGCGATCAGTTCATTTTAGCTTCGGTTTATTCGCGTCGATTATTTCATTTAAAGATGCGCTAAGAGGAAAAACAATTATATACGACCTGTGACCGTGAGATAACATCAGGATAAATTTTACGAGTCACGGCTTTAAATACATCTGCGTCTTCCGTCAAATCCGCGTTAATTCTCCTATCTTAATTCTAAATCCCATGCGCGTGCAAATTTAAATTACAAAATTGTACGTGACTTTATATACGTCTAGTCTGTGAAAAAATACTCTCGATACGATCCAAGCTTCTCAGAAAGGCAATTGCGGTTCGCGCGCGCATCTTCCTCCTCGCGGCCGGGTATAAAAGGCCTCGTATCGCCCTTGAAGTGTTTTTAGTGCTCGCTGGTGCGGCGCGTAACGTGCTTAACCGGTTTCACGTGCGCGAGTTTTCTGCTCGCATTACATTTGGTACTCCAACTTGTCTTCCTTAGTAGAAACATTATGAAACATTTGTTCGTTATTCTCCTGAGCATCATCGTTGTGCTGGCCGAGGATGATCCCGCTGGCGAACAACACGAAGTCACCGCTCCCATTGGGAAAATTCGCGGTTCCACCATGACCTCCAGACTCGGCAGGAAGATCTATTCCTTCCGAGGTGTGAGATACGCTGAACCACCGACTGGACAGCAACGTTTTCAAGTAAAGCAATAAATTTTGCAAATAAATAAATAATATTAATTACATTTATATTAATTACATATTAAATTCGATAGAGTAATTTGGGTTCCTAGCGCAATCAATAAAATAATGAAAGTCTTCAATTTCTAAATACAATGTAATAAAAATACAATATAGTTTTAGGCATGTGATAATTAAGAGAAAATGTATTCAGTGAACGATCTAATGCCATAGCAAATTTTTGAGTTAATCAGAAGACTGGTTCTCTGATCATCTTTCATGTTTTTTAATTTTATTTCTCTTCTAGGTAGCAATTCCGGCGGCAGACTGGAACGACGTTTACGATGCAACCAAAGAAGGACCTGCCTGTACAGCAATAAACGTACAGAATATAATGGAGGATTGTCTTCGTGTGAACGTTTACACGACGAAAGTGAGTCTTATAATGCAACGTATATTCACATCCGAAAGAGCGTGAAGTCACTAATTGAACAATTATCTTGATCGCAGTTACCGTCGACGAGCGAGTCCGTGAAAAGACCCGTGTTAGTATTCTTCCATCCCGGTGCTTTTTACTTATTTTCGGGTCAGAGTTCTTTCTTCGGACCTCAGTATTTGTTGGACAAAGACGTCGTTCTCGTCACCGTCAATCATCGCCTCGCGACATTAGGTGAAGTCCCGCGTTTTATTACTTTTCTGATATTCGAGCTACGAGCGATAAGAATCCGTGGCATTTAAACTTTAGAGAAAAACATAATGTTATTTACTTACTTTATTACATAATTCCAAGGAAAACATAAATATTATTACAAGATTTTATCGCTCATGACTCAAAAATGACGGAACTTTTTCTTTTAATAATCTACTTATGAATAACATCAGGCTTTTTGAGCACCGGCGATTCCAAAGCACCGGGTAATTTGGGCCTGAAGGATCAAGTCATAGCACTTCGATGGATTCAAAGAAATATAGCCGCTTTCGGCGGCGATCCCGACAGCGTTACTATATCTGGTTGCAGCGTCGGTGGATTGAGCGTGATGTTGCACATGGTCTCGCCGATGTCCAAAGGATTGTTCCATCGAGCGATCGCGATGAGTGGATCGATGATGACGACGGAACCACACCCGACTAACCAGTTGCACTTGGCAAAAAAGCAAGCTGAATTATTAGATTGTCCAACCGACAGCACTGGCTCTATGTTAATTTGCTTGAACTCCAAACCGGTGGAGAATTTCACAGACACTATAACCAAGTTCTTTGTAAGAAAAATAATATATAAGATGAAATTAATAAATAGAAAATAATTTTCTTATTTAATGATAAAAAATTAGATACAAAAAAAGAGGATAATATATAAGAGGATTAATATATTTAGATATTTTAGATATATACAAAAAAATGTCACTCTATTTAGAATAAATATAACTTAAATTTAGATTAAATCTAATAATAGAAGCATCTAATGATAGAAGCAAAAGACAACAATAAAAAAATAATTGCTTATTATTAGTTAATTAATAAAACGCTAAAAACTGAATTTAAGTTATATTTATTCATTCATATATATATATATATATATATATATATATATATATAATTAATTATTTCTCTGAATTTCAGAAGATTCATATTTGTTATTTTGTAATACTGAACATCAGTCGAAGATTAAGAAATATAAAGGATTTGTTTTATTTCAAATAATTAGATAAAAAAAATAGAAATCAAATAAGATATCATCAATTTACTATGGCACATTCTAGGAATGGTATGCTTATCCAGTCTTGATATGGGCACCTGTAGTGGAACCTGAGGTTCATGGCGTGGAAAGATTTTTAACTGAACAACCCGTTGATCTTATTAGACAAGGAAAATTCCACAAAGTTCCGCTGATTGTAGGAGTTACTAAAGATGAGTTTAGCGGTGTGGCCGCCTGTAAGAAGCTTATATTTGTATCTTTTTGTCCAATTTTGTTCATTAAAAATGCTGCAATTACAGAAATTAATAAATATATAATAATATATTATATTGTCGTATATTGTCGTATTTCAGATGTCATGAAGCAACATGAACTTGGAAATGATTCGTTTGTGAATGACTTGAACAATGAATGGTACAGAATCGCACCGATCAGTTTCATGTACGAACGCGATACGCCTCGATCTAGAAACATAAGTGCCGAATTGCGTCGATTTTACTTTAACGATCAACCGATCAGTCCAGACAATTCCGATGCTCTTGCAAAAGTACGTAAATTATAAAGTTATTATGGTATATATTATACTATATAGTATATGATACATAGAGAGATTTGGAATAATATTGAATATTGCTAATTAGTTAAATTTATATAATAATTATGTATTTTAGTTAAACTCTGACAGCATCATTACATATCCGCTATATCGCGCTGCAAGACTGATCGCAGAGAACTCTGATCAACCTACCTATTTTTATAAGTTTTCTTATCAAGGACGACATAGTTTTGTCATGTGGAACGAAACCACACCATTCGGTATTATCTGTTTTCACATTTTACTTTGTTCAAATTATTCAAATTGTTTTATAATACTTTATCTGACTTTTATCTAACTTCTATATAACACATACACATATATAT